AGAAGAAGAAGAAGAAGAAGAAGAAGAAGAAGAAGAAGAAGAAGAAGAAGAAGAAGAAAGAAAGAAAAAAAACCCTGCAATTAGAAAAAAAAAGGATACTTGTTGAAATTAGTTCGGTTTGTTAGCCTTGATTTTTTTTTAAATATTTATTTATTTACTTATTATGTATACAATATTCTGTCTGCAGACCAGAAGAGGGCACCAGACCTCATTACAGATGGTTGTGAGCCGCCATGTAGTTGCCAGGAATTGAACTCAGGACCTTTGGAAGAGCAGGCAATGCTCTTAACTGCTGAGCCATCTCTCCAGCCCCCTTAGCCTTCATTTTTATCAGCAAAGAAGATATTTCAAATAGGGTGGAACTTCACAGATGGGAGTCTTCTTCTAGGTGCTCACTCAAATCCCAGCTCATGGCTGCCAGGCCCTCATTTCACTGAAAGTTCGTTATCGTTGTTATGTCAGTACAGGGTGTCAAATGTAGCCCAGACCAGCCTCAGATTTGTGATTCTCCTGCCATACCCCACCTTGAGTGTTGCAGTTGTGGGCATGTGTCACCAGGCTCAGCAAGCCTCGTCCCTGAGCCTGGCAAGAGCCAGAGTTGCACCTGGAGCTACTGCAGAGCTGAGATGTAGCAGGTGCTTAGTGACAATCTCGGCGGACTGGAGACAGCTCCGTGTGCACAAGCCTGAGTCTGATCCCATCGCCCAGCGGTGAGAAGCCAGGCATGGTGGAGCATGCTTGAATCCCAGTGCTGGGGAGGTAGAGGCAAAAGGATTCCTGGAGTTTTGTTGCCAGCCAGCACAGTCTAACAGGTGGACAGTTAGCCTTCTGTGGGGGCGGGCTGCCATCCTGGGCGGCTTCCCTCTCAGAGCATTTCCGACCTCAGCCTGAGATGGTTGACTGTAAATGAAGCAGAGCTGTCTCCTGGAGAAGTGATTTTGACAGTTCTCCTGAAAGGCCTGTGCCCACAGTGCTTCCGACGAAAAGCCTGCTGGGAAGTGTTGAGATAGTGAGGGCTCCTCCTCCATAAAAGGATTAATGCCAGCTAGGAAAGGCTGGAGAAACTATTCTGGGCCATTTAAAAAAAATATTCTTCCATCTTCTGCCAACTGACACAGCAAGAAGGCACTCCCCAGAGGGAGGCCAAGTAGAAGCCGATCGGTTCCATGTCCTAGACTTTCTGAGCCCCCAAACCTAGGACAGTGTGGGGGCAAATTTCAAATTCTATAAGTTACCCAGTCT